TCTAGACCTGTAAACACTGAATGAAACAGACCTTGGGACTCAATGGACCTCTACGCTGAGCCATAGTGAAACAAAACATACTGTGACTACACCTAAAATTCAGGAAACAAAAGCAGTCATACCTGTGAACTTCTACATACAGCATCAGGGTGAGTCGGACACCATTGGTTCAACAGCATGACCGCAATATCCTTAAAGTCACCAAACCCTCTATGCTATACATCACCTCTATTCTGTACAATCAGATCTCATCCATGCAACCTGTGCCTAAACGCACTTCAGAACTGCACTGTGATGGTTCTGGAAACCCATGTTGTAGCACACAAAGTGACATCCCTTTATAATTGCATTTGGTGTGAACAAGACCTCCTTCACAGATGCACACAATCAGCTCCAAATGCTGTGGTGTACACCTCCATACTGACTTGTGCCCCTATTGTGTGCATTAGCCACGATGTTCACCCTTTATGCAATTAACTTACGTCTTGAGTTATGGCATTCGCACACCATGCTATGAACTCAAATCCTGTACTACAGAATTCCCCAACCATGCAATGAACCCATGTCCTGTGTTATTGTGTTGTGCCACCATTAAATTAACCCATGCCCTGTGCTATGGCATTCTCCCATCATTCAACGAACCCATGTCCTGTGTTATGGCATTCTCCCATCATTCAACGAACCCATGCCCTGTGCTATTGTGTTCTTCAACCATGCAACGAACCCATGTCCTGTGCTATTGTGTTCTTCAACCATGCAACGAACCCATGTCCTGTGCTATTGTGTTCTTCAACCATGCAACGAACCCATGTCCTGTGCTATTGTGTTCTTCAACCATGCAACGAACCCATGTCCTGTGCTATTGTGTTCTTCAACCATGCAACGAACCCATGTCCTGTGCTATTGTGTTCTTCAACCATGCAACGAACCCATGTCCTGTGCTATTGTGTTCTTCAACCATGCAACGAACCCATGTCCTGTGCTATTGTGTTCTTCAACCATGCAACGAACCCATGTCCTGTGCTATTGTGTTCTTCAACCATGCAACGAACCCATGTCCTGTGCTATTGTGTTCTTCAACCATGCAACGAACCCATGTCCTGTGCTATTGTGTTCTTCAACCATGCAACGAACCCATGTCCTGTGCTATTGTGTTCTTCAACCATGCAACGAACCCATGTCCTGTGCTATTGTGTTCTTCAACCATGCAACGAACCCATGTCCTGTGCTATTGTGTTCTTCAACCATGCAACGAACCCATGTCCTGTGCTATTGTGTTCTTCAACCATGCAACGAACCCATGTCCTGTGCTATTGTGTTCTTCAACCATGCAACGAACCCATGTCCTGTGCTATTGTGTTCTTCAACCATGCAACGAACCCATGTCCTGTGCTATTGTGTTCTTCAACCATGCAACGAACCCATGTCCTGTGCTATTGTGTTCTTCAACCATGCAACGAACCCATGTCCTGTGCTATTGTGTTCTTCAACCATGCAACGAACCCATGTCCTGTGCTATTGTGTTCTTCAACCATGCAACGAACCCATGTCCTGTGCTATTGTGTTCTTCAACCATGCAACGAACCCATGTCCTGTGCTATTGTGTTCTTCAACCATGCAACGAACCCATGTCCTGTGCTATTGTGTTCTTCAACCATGCAACGAACCCATGTCCTGTGCTATTGTGTTCTTCAACCATGCAATGAACCTATGCTGTGTGCCATGGCATTATTCCACCATGCCATCAACCCATGTCTAGATCTATGGCATTCTCCCATCATGCACTGAACCCATGCCCCGTACTATTGTGTCCTATGCTATGGCATTCTCCCATCATTTAATGAAACCTGTGTCCTATGCTATTGTGTTCTTCAACCATGCCATGTGCTATGGTGTTCTCCTACTATGCAATTAACCCATTTCTTGTGCAATGGTGTTCTTTTAGCCTTCAATAAACCCATGTCCTAGGTTATGGCATTTTGTCACCATGCAATGAACCCATGGCCCTGTTCTATTGTGATCTCTGACTATGTAATGAACCAATGTACTGAGCTATGGAGTTTTTCTACCATGTACCTGTACCATTTTCTACCGTGTCCTGTGCTATAGCATTCTCCCACCATGCAATAAACACATTTCCTATGCTATGGCATTCTGTCACCATGCAATGAACCCATGTTCTGTGCCATTGTGTTCTCCGACCATGCAATGAACCCATGTCTTGTGCTATGACATTCTTTCACCATGCAAAGAACCCATGTCCTGTTCTATGGCGTTCTCTTATCATGCAATGAACCAATGCCCTATGCTTTTTTATATTGGAGGTCCTGACTGTTGAGTGCGGATTCACATACATTGGATTACTGGTAAAGGCCGTGGTGTGCCTCTGTCGACTGGCACCCGGCCTTTTGGATGGGACTGAGGAGTTTGGGCATACGAATGTGAGCGGTGCACTTTTCACAAACTTTTCTATGTTATAGCAGGTCACATTCAGACTCTATTGGCCTGTATGATATTCACAGACGCTGTGCCAAACGTAAGATGAAAAAGTACATCTTGCTGCCTTAGCTTTGGTGCCAAGCACCTTTGAATGCCAGGATCCACGTACCTTAGGAATCAATACTCATCTGAACTACAGTGAATGGATCTGAGTTTAGCAGATGACAAGCCTCCCAAGGAAATCATCACTTAAAGTGAATGCACAGCCAAAACTTTTTGTTCTCACAGCAAAGGTACATGTTCAATTTAAGGCTGTGTCCCTGCTAAGAAAAGTCACCCTCTCTATTTGTCCTAGTGCCCATCGTCACCGAATTTGTGATGAAAAACCCAAATTTCACAACTGTCCCCAGAACAAGAAGTGAACCCTTCCAATTGAGACACTTAAACATAAAGAGTGACAGCAGAAAGACCAAGTTTGAGGTCATGCCCCCAGGTTTCTTATCTTTATACTGAAAATACTGCCCTCCTGACCCCTATTCACACTCTTAATGTATTTAAAGGTTTCAAACCTGCCCCCCCCCCCCGTTCTTTCTTCAAGACTGTACATATTAAGTTCCTTCTGTCTCTCCTGATATGTCTGAGGGATAAAACATTTCACTATTTTTGATGCCCATCTCTGGACTCGTTCTAAACTATCAATATTTTTTGTAAGTGAGGTCTCCAGAACTGGACACAGTATTCTACATGAGGTACAACTAAATATCTATAAAGGGAGATTCAAGACCTCCTTCCTCCTGATGAAGATCCCTCTAGTGATACCTAAAGATCTATACGGGGGGACCAGGACATCCTTCCTCCTGATGGAGATCCCTCTAGTGATAACTAAAGATCTCTACAGGGGGACCAGGACCTCCATCCTCCTGATGGAGATCCCTCTAGTGATAACTAAAGATCTATACAGGGGGACCAGAACCCCCATCTTCCTGATGGAGATCCCTCTAGTGATGACTAAAGATCTCTACAGGGGGACCGGGACCTCCATTCCTCCTGATGGAGATTCCTCTAGTGATAACTAAAGATCTCAACAGGGGGACCAGGACCTCCATCAGGCTGATGGAGATCCCTCTAGTGATAACCCAAAATGTCTATATAGGGAGATCCAGACCTCATTCCTCTTCCTGGGAATTCGTCTAGGTATAGCTAAGGATCTATATAGAAGAATCCAGACCCCCTTCTTCCTGCTGGTGACAACTCTAGTTATAAAGATCTGTATAGTGGAATCAGTACCTCCTTCCTGCTGGTGATCCCTCTAGTGAAAGCTAAAGATCTGTTTAGGGGGACAAGGACCTCTTTCCGCTCACTGGGGACCTCTCTATTAATAAAGATCTATATGGAGAACCAAGCCCTACCCTATAGATCTTTCATATAGACACTTGTTCATGCGACAACTGCCTCAGGGCTCATTCACAGAAGCAACTACATTAGGACGCAGCCGCTGGCGTGCGCTGTGAAGGCTGGATCGCCACATCGCACTGTAACCTTTGTGAGAACTTTATTGAAATGCAGAAATAAAGTCACCAGCACGCCAAATAATAGTTTAGCAATCGTCCATTTAATGACACATTGCCATTCATTGAATGGCAATGTGTCATTAAATGGACGATTGCTAAACTACTATTTAGCGTGCTGGTGACTTTATTTCTGCATTTGAGCTGTTCACGGTGCCATCCGTGGTCACTACAAGCACCCACCCGTCTACACGGGTCTCTTTGATGTTCCGGTAAGGAGTGCAGCAAGACCCCTGGTTCCTAACTTTATTGAAATGTCACAAAGTGACAATGCAATCAGTTCCATCAGCCGCAGGGCAGTGTGACGCAGTGGACCGCGTCGCACCATGCCATGCTGAAAAAAAGCACATTACGTACTTTATCCCAGCACACGCTACCACAGTGCTCAGACCAATGCCTATTGATAAGAGCTCATTCACACGGGAATCGGCCAGCCCCTGTCCTTCTCTATGGGACTACACTGCCGAACGCTGCCCTATGCTCACCCGCCCTGCACGTGAGCGTACTCGTACATTGACAGGATAGATCATGTCTGCGTCCGAGCCAGGAAACATGCACCCGCAGGGACCTGCACTTGAGGGGAGCGTAGGTGGGCGTATGGCTGCGTAGTACCATAGAGAAGGACAGGGGCTGCCTGCTAATTACACGCAGCACCTGTCCTTGCCGGGAGCTGCCCGATACGGCCGTGCATGCAGCACGAAGCAGTACGTTCCGGCCGATTCCCGTGTGAATGAGCCCTAAGGCAAACTGCCTCCTGTTTGTTTTGGGACATCCAACTGCACCCGACGTGCACTGGCCCTTGAAGAAATTACCCCTCACTTCCTGTTGCACTCCTGGGACAGGAAGTAACGGGAAATCTCCCCAATGGGATCCAGATTGCAAAATAAAACCCAACACAGGTATTAACCCTTCCCAAACCCAACACAGGTATTAACCCTTTCCCTTTAGATACACCTTGCTCTCCTGCAGGGGAGAAGGCCTGGCTAATCTCACCTCTCTGTTGAGGCCCAGCTCTGGGATGCTCCCCACCGTCACCTCTAGGATCTCGGCTGGCCTCTCCCCGTAGTAATGGTACTGTTCGTGCTCCCCGATCTTCTCCTGCTTGATGGCGCTCAGGCCGTGCATGAAGTCGTTGTTCGGGGGGGATCCGGGCTCTTTCTTCAGGATCATGTCTCCCGGGCACGGCAGGATGTGCGGCGGCGGAGGATGAGGCAGCAGGTCGGAGCCCAGGCGGGCGAAGGTGGTGACGGGCGGGAGGTGGCTGAACATCAGCATGCTGGGGGGAAAAGTCGGCTCCATGGCCGGCGGCGGGGAGGGGGAAAGGAGGGAGTTGGAGGGGGGCCTCTCCGTGAAGGTGAAGCGCCGAGAGGCGGCTGCTGAGCTAACCGGGAGCGGGGGGGCCTGGAGAGCGCCACACTAAGTCTTCACACACATCCTTCACGCTACCGCCTCGCCTCCGTCCACCGGGGGCCACACAATACCGTCATGGACCGCCGGCCCGCACAACAAACACGACGCCCGAAAGCTCCACAATAGAAGCTGCTGTGGATTCGCACTGCGCACGCGCGCCCACCACAGAGCCTCTCT